TCCCCCCAGCCCTCCCACCCCCCCCCTCTCTATCCCCCTAACCCTCACACCACCACCATCGCTATCACCCTAACCCTCACACCACCACCATTGCTATCACCCTAACCCTCACACCACCACCATCCCTATCACACTAACCCTCACACCACCACCATCTCTATTACACTAACCCTCACACCACCACCATCCCTATCACCCTAACCCTCACACCCCCACCATCTCTATCCCCCTAACCCTCACACCACCACCATTGCTATCACCCTAACCCTCACACCACCACCATCCCTATCACCCTAACCCTCACACCACCACCATCCCTATCACCCTTACACCACCACCATCTCTATCACCCTAACCCTCACACCACCACCATCTCTATCACACTAACCCTCACACCACCACCATCTCTATCACACTAACCCTCACACCACCAGCATCCCTATCACACTAACCCTCACACCACCACCATCCCTATCACACTAACCCTCACACCACCACCATCTCTATCACCCTAACCCTCACACCACCACCATCCCTATCACCCTTACACCACCACCATCTCTATCACCCTAACCCTCACACCACCACCATCTCTATCACACTAACCCTCACACCACCACCATCTCTATCACACTAACCCTCACACCACCACCATCTCTATCACCCTCACACCACAACCATCTCTATCACCCTAACCCTCCCTGTAACAGTAATCCTGCATCCCTACCCTTCCTGTAACCCTAACTCTTAGTGCTTGTTCATACCAATTACATTGCGTTCCAGCGCAGTTAGCTGCTCGAACGACGCACTGTATCACATACTAAACACACAGCCCCCGCGCGTCAAGTCAATGGCACTGCAGCCACGCCCCGCAGCCCTCAGTGCGATCGCCCGCACACATTGCCTGCGTTCCGGTCCAGTTGGATCGCAAAAACATGCTGCATGTACTATCTTTTTGCCATCGCACTGGACCGGGACACATGCATTGTTGTGCCAGGCGTTCTGGTGCGGACGAGCGCTCTCGTTTTTTCATATATCGAATACTTGCCATCAATAGATGTATACAAAAAAAGTGCTTAATTGTACTTTAGATTGAGCTCTGGGCTGTTTGTTTGTGACTCCCACTCTTTGCACAGCACCTGAATGATGTTTGGATAGCAGCAGGTAGCGCTGATCATATAGATAAGTGTAGTTTTGCTTTCTTGCAGATCACTTGGGGTTTTCTAAGGATGAACGTCTCGTTTTTAACTTGCTAGATATGTCTTTTTTATAGTAACCACCTCCCTATGTAACCAACGAGTGCAGAGATTTGAAATCACATACTTAGAGGAAACAAAAGACAATGAAACTGATTTATTTTTTTATGTTAACAAGTAGGTCACATAAAGTGCATAGTAAAAGTAACCATGGCACCGGCACTAGAAACTAGGGATGCACTGATACTAGTATCGGTATTGGGGCCAATACCAAGTATTTGCACCCGATGCCTATCCTCATACCAGAACTTCCAGTATTAGGAAGCCGGGCGGGGAGTCGTTACACGCTGCCCGGCTTCCTGATTGTCTGGGAAGCCGTCTCCATGCTCCCTCGTCATCAGGTGATGAGAAGGAACTGATCAAAAGTCTAAGCTCCACGTGACTCTTGGCAAGAAGCAGCAGCAGGGAGATGCTTCCTTAACACGGAACGGTGGGGGAAAATAGTGCAAAACACCCAACACTTCACCTAGCCGATGACATCAGCGCTCAGTCCCTCAGCATTAACCCCTTTCCATGGCAGAGAGAGGGAATAATGGCACCCGGAGACCTAAGAAAGAGAGCTCCAGATGTGAACGGCCTACTAAGTCTTCAGAGACGGGGCGAGTACTGAGGCAATTCCGATGGCTCCGGAGCCGGAAAGCACTTCCCAGATAACTTTTACTAGAGTTTGGAAAGCACCGGAACACAGCGCCCTAAGGGCATTTGGAGGATGTACCCAGAATGTCCATCAAACATGGTCACTCAAAAAGCCAGGCTGAGGATGACTGGATAGTTTCAAGGGAAGAGAGATCCAGAAATTGTCCATCTTCATAGGACACTAGCAAGAAATTGGGTCATGATGGAAGTGGGAGAGGTTATCTTGGGCTGGCCTTTGAGAAACAAAAAGGGTAGGGATCAGCACTAAACGGAGACACCACCCCTAGGTATAAGCATAAATACAAAAAAAAAGAAAGAGAAAGACGGGGCTTTATAGGTGACTCATGAACAATGCGGTTTAAACATAATGTCACATATCTCATTTTATATAGTAAAATTCATATTTAATAACATAGTTCCATGATTAGCAGAAATTAGCACATACAGGACATACCACACATTTAAAAACAGGGCCATTCAATATATAAGCAACATGTCACCTCTAGGGATCTGTACAAAGGCCCACCAGTCCTCTGTGCGAGTAGAACCGTCCCCACCCGGAGGCGCAGTCGGCTCACCACCAGAATATGTGTAAGGGGATACTACCAATTGTTTTAGACAAGGTTATTTATATATATTTTTAGATATTTATACATTTATAATTATATCAATGGAGAATGTGAATCATGTGTGATTAGTCCCAGTGTTGTATGTATACAACATATTATCTTATTATAATTTGCAGTATGGACGGACGGAAACTAGCCTCCCGTCCCTATCGCCCCTATGCGTCCCTCAGTCCCCATGTCCTCTGTGCGGTGGATGTTGGCCTACTGGGGTTGCGGACCGGTTCACCACTAAGACCCTCAAAAAGGTTATGTTTTTTCATTATTTATTGTATGTTCAATATGTGAATTAAATGATTCTGTTAACTTTAGGATAGCCATACATAGTTACATTTTGATACTTAAATATTACAGGCAGCCTCTTATCTTCCTGAGGAAGCTTTTTAGCGAAACGCGTAGAAGAATGGAAACGTACAGATTCTTGATTGGAACACTTAACAAAATGAAATTATATATCAATATAGTGACTGATCTGAAGAATTATACATTGACTGATCTAATTTATTATGTATTTATTATAAAATCAAGAATGCCAATTATTGCTATTTTGCACAATATGAATTTGTACAGATCCCTAGAGGTGACATGTTGCTTATATATTGAATGGCCCTGTTTTTAAATGTGTGGTATGTCCTGTATGTGCTAATTTCTGCTAATCATGGAACTATGTTATTAAATATGAATTTTACTATATAAAATGAGATATGTGACATTATGTTTAAACCGCATTGTTCATGAGTCACCTATAAAGCCCCGTCTTTCTCTTTCTTTTTTTGTATCTTGGGCTGGCCTACTATTTATTTTGTGTTTGACATTGTCCATTCCTCCTGTAGGTGGCAGTATAACCAAAAGGCAAAGATTTCCTGTGCCTCTTAATGGACAAGAAAGGAAGATCTCCCTCATTTCCATCATGACTTTGGCTTCTGACCGGTGTTATTTCTAAGAGGTAATAGAAGATTTTTCAACAGCTGGACATGTGTTCTCCATTACGAGCTTGAATCCGGCCTCTTCTCAGTGTGAATTCTCCTATGAAACTTAAGATTGCTCTGCTGGCTAAAACGTTTCCCGCACTCCGAACATGAATAGGGCTTCTCCCCCGTGTGCGTTCTCTTGTGTAGCTCCAGATGGGACCCCAAAGTGAAACATTTGCCGCATTCTGAGCACGAATACGGCTTCTCCCCAGTGTGAGTCCTCATGTGATTAACAAGAGTGGAACTCCTACTGAAACATTTCCCGCACTCCGAACACGAATACCGCTTCTCCTTTGTGTGAGATCTCTTGTGGGTAGCGAGAGCTGAACTCTCAGAGAAACATTTCCCGCATTCCAGACACAAATACGGCTTCTCCCCTTCGTGAGTTCTCTTGTGGTAAACAAGAGCCGAATTTGTAGTAAAGCATTTCCCGCATTCCGAACATGAATACGGCTTCTCCCCGGTGTGAGTTCTTTTGTGATAAATAAGAGCTGAGCATGCTCCAAAGCATTTCCCGCATTCGGAACACATATACGGCTTCTCCCCGGTGTGAGTTCTCTTGTGATTGACAAGGGCGGTGCTCGTGGTAAAACATTTCCCGCATTCAGAACACGAATACGGCTTCTCCCCGGTGTGGATTCTCTGATGTCGGAGAAGATGGGAATTTGAGTTAAAGCATTTTCCACACTGGGAACAGGAGTACGGCTTCATGCCAATGTGAATCCGTCCATGGGATATGAGAGAGGACTTCTGGGTGAAACATTTCCCGCAATCTGAACACAGATATGGCTTCTTTCCTGTGTGAGTTCTTTTTCTATGATCTGGATGATGGGTGACAGGAGGTGAGCGATCGGGAAAACTCCCCCCAGGTGTAGAGGGATCATGTGACAGATGTGCCCCCATGTTGCTTATGATGTGTTGGCCATCTGGAGGAAACAAGCGATAGAAGGGGAACAGGGACAGTTAAAATATAGGGCAGGGCTCCATTTTTTTTTATATAGGTCATGGGCGGCACTACATTAATATCAATGAATCTGTGCAAATAATAAGTAAAACTAAATGGAAATCAAGTATATTAATCGATATTGTTGCTGTTGCCCCTCCCCCACCCTTCATTCTTGCTCCATGCAACAGGGACTGTAGGAATGTGCTGGAAGCAGGGCCGGCGCTAGCGCAAGGCAACATGGGCACTTGCCTTACGGCGCCAGGGAGCAGGGCGGAAAATTGGCAGTGACAGTCGCCCGATCGAGACCAGTGTGTGGGCTGCCGCTGCGGGCGGGTGGCATCTGAAGGACGAGTCCGCGCCGGCCGCAGCGGCGCTGACCTGTGCAGTCTCACTGTCCCTGGCTACGTACTGCGGCTTCTCCTTGCCCTCCGTTTCCTCACCGACATGCTTCTCAGCGTACGACGTCGCTAAGATGCGACTCGTAGTGCAGGCCGTGGCTGATGACGTCAGGACCAATCAGAGGCGGGTGCGCGCTTCTCGTCTAGCGATGGGAAGAGAGCCTGCAGTACGTCAACTTACTGAATGCGGGGGATCACCGAGCCGGGACCTAGGCACCTCTAGTTACCATGGTAACGACCTGCTGCTGTGTTAGGGGAGAAGTAGAGCAGTTACCCAGAGCAACCACTCAGGTTTTTTTTTAAGCTGGATTGGTTGTTGATGACTTTTGGTCCGTGTTTTGTCCATGAGCTTCACAGAGTGTTTTTGTAGCTGACCTCCAGGCTGGGTCATTCTCTGACCCCGAACGCAGACAGATTGCATCCAGGACCAGTCATCTGTCCCCAGCTGCTAGTGGCCCCTGAATGTGCAGGGACATGCGGACAGGGGTGGCTCTGGTCATGGTGACCCACCCCAGACCAGACACATCGGACTCGTATCGGGAATTGGGATCAGGAGCTGGCTGAAGTGGGAGCGGTATGTAATGTAACAAAGATGTAATGTAATGTGCACGTGGTATGCTGCATTGTATTGTATTGTTTTTTATTGTGCATTGTATTGTGTATTGACAATACACAATACAATATACAATGCACAATACAGTATTGTATTGTGCATTGTATAATATATTGTGTAAAGTGTATTGTATTGTATTGTGTATTGTATAATACAGCGGCACAATGCTGAACACCAGCAGCTATAGAGGAACAACAAATCCCAGCAATAGTACATTATACGGCTGGTTAATATATAATTGATGGGATTTGTTGTTCCTCTATAGCTAATATAAATAAATAAGTTAAACGATCACTTTAAGCTTCATAACCATTAAAGCTTAATGGAGCACAGATATAATGTATGGTGTGTGTGTGTGTGCGTGCGTGCGCGCCGGGGGAGGGGCGTCAAAATGCACCTTCGCCTGAGTTGGCAAAAATCCTTGCACCGGCCCTGGCTGGAAGGCATGACTTCTGCTAACACCTTCCTCCCATCAAGGACCACATTGTTCCAGATTAGCTAGTGGTCCCTCCTACAGGGCGTCCATGTTTCTAGGTTGGAGTAAGCATCTCAGGATTCCTACATAGTACAAAAGAAAGATGCTGAAGAAGAAGGTGACAACGCGGCTGGAATTCCATCGACGACCTCCCAAGATCAAGATCCCCTTATATGTGTACAGTTCTCTGCTGGATGATCATCGGCCAATCAAATTTTAGTGTTTGCTACTCACTTGTGCTGATCTCTATAGGAACTTCCTCCTCTTTAATCTTCACATGTCCTTCTTCCTCCTCCTCAGATTTGACGTCTCTCTGAGTGTCTCCGGGGTCTGTGGATAGAGATGAGAGTGAGGCCCCCCTGTACTGAGTTGTATGAGAGACCCCAGAGAGTGTGTGTGGGGGGGGGAGACTGGTCACGTCTCTTGGCTGGTAACACACAATGACATGATGTGAGGAGGAGAGCCGGAGTCTAATAGAGGCTGATGGCTCCTGACTCCCCCCACTAGACACATTCCGTCCCCCCATTACTGTCTACTGACAGAGGAGGGGGAGAAGAAGAGATTGTTGTAGTGACTGAACAAGGAGAATCTGGGACTTAGATTTAGTGTTTATTCCTCACCTGTGCTGATCTCTAGAGAACGTTCCTCCTCCTTACACGGCTCATCATCCATCGTGGACATCACTTCTTCATCTTCAACTTTAACGACAATCAGGCCTTCTCTCTAAATTAGACACAAAGTATTTTCTAAATTTTGTATTAGGCGAATACCAAATTGAATTAGGACCCTCAGTCTCAACTACCTGATAAAGGTGCTGGATCTCCTCATGTTCCTGTGTGGAATCCCGGGAATACAGAGGACGGGTCTGAGGGATCTCATGATGTTCCTGTGTGTAATCCCGGGAATACAGAGGACGGGTCTGAGGGATCTCATGATGTAAGACACATTCCGTCCCCCCATTACTGTCTACTGACAGAGGAGGGGGAGAAGAAGAGATTGTTGTAGTGACTGAACAAGGAGAATCTGGGACTTAGATTTAGTGTTTATTCCTCACCTGTGCTGATCTCTAGAGAACGTTCCTCCTCCTTACACGGCTCATCATCCATCGTGGACATCACTTCTTCATCTTCAACTTTAACGACAATCAGGCCTTCTCTCTAAATTAGACACAAAGTATTTTCTAAATTTTGTATTAGGCGAATACCAAATTGAATTAGGACCCTCAGTCTCAACTACCTGATAAAGGTGCTGGATCTCCTCATGTTCCTGTGTGGAATCCCGGGAATACAGAGGACGGGTCTGAGGGATCTCATGATGTTCCTGTGTGTAATCCCGGGAATACAGAGGACGGGTCTGAGGGATCTCCTGATGTTCCTGTGTGGAATCCCGGGAATACAGAGGACGGGTCTGAGGGATCTCATGATGTTTCTGTGTGGAATCCCGGGAATACAGAGGACGGGTCTGAGGGATCTCCTGATGTTCCTGTGTGGAATCCCGGGAATACAGAGGACGGGTCTGAGGGATCTCCTGATGTTCCTGTGTGGAATCCCGGGAATACAGAGGACGGGTCTGAGGGATCTCCTGATGTTCCTGTGTGGAATCCCGGGAATACAGAGGACGGGGACATCTCTCTGGGGTATTCCTGTTCCTGGATCCATCTGTAGGAAACACACACACTGACTGAATACATTGTTTCTATGTCTTTATATCAGAGGATGTGTGTATCTAGGGGGATCCTCAATACTCAAGAAATTAAAGTCTCCTCTTACCCGGCGATGTGAGCGGCGGCCGGTTCTCCATCGTGACGTCCTTGTACAGGTCCTTGTGTCCTTCTAGATACTCCCACTCCTCCATGGAGAAATAGACAGAGACATCCTGACACCTTATAGGAACCTGACACACACAATGATACAGTCACCATCCAGACACATCCCTTGTCTGTCCCTGGATCATGTCCCAGAATTCCCGGCACCGCTCACCTCTCCCGTCAGCAGCTCAATGATCTTCTGGGTGACTTCTAGAACCTTCTTGTCATTCTTGATCTCAGATATTAGGGAATAAGTTGGAGGCTCCATAACGGGTCTCTGTTTCCCTCTCCATTTTTGTGGCCTACGTGTCATGTGATCATCAGATGGCTTCTTCACTAAAACATATTCCTGTGTTTCAAGAGGGAATTCATATTAGTACATAGAAAAAATAACACACATCTCATGTAAATCAATGGAGGTTCCCAAAACCCCTCAGTTCTCAGGTTATGAATAGAGATAAGAGTGATGTCATGTGACCTCCCAGAATCCTCCTCACCTCTCCGGTCAGGTCTGTGTTTTATTAATAGAGGTAAGAGTGATGTCATGTGACCTCCCAGAATCCTCCTCACCTCTCCGGTCAGCAGGTAGATGATCTCCAGGGTGAGGTTCAGTATCCTCTCAGTCATGTGACTCCGCGCCTTCTCCATATTTGTGTTCGCTTCAGTTATTCCGGGACACAAAGAACTATAAAAACAGGAAAAGTAAATCATATATATTTAATATATTAATGGGAAAGAAGAGTTGATATTACATCAGAAGAGAGACAAAGGTTGAATTATGGAAGCAGAGAGGGAGATGTGCAGAGAGAGGACAATGCTATGATGTAATCTGGACAGAACATGCATACATATGGAGGTGAATAGGACCTGTCATCGCCATGGGAACATACACCTACAGCTGCCCATACATGCTTTGGATTTTGGTCTGTTCCATCTGAACTGGCCAAAATTCAAGCCATGGGTGGACCTGTCAACACCACCCGACTCCACTATGTCATTTGTTGTTGTAGCCCGAGAAAGATTTCTAATGAGTATCTACGACACTCGTTATAGAGGGCAAAGGTCAACGGTCATGTCACATAGGGTCACTTGCTAGCTACTGATGCCAAATCCAGTCCTATTGTTGGCATCAGTAGAAGGTGGGGAGCCTTTTATTTCCCTTCTGCCCAAATGCAAATGAAACAACCCCACCTGTGGACATGTGACCTGACTTTAGTCACATGACCCCCCCCATCCTCATCTCATAAGAAGAAGACATTATTACCTCCTTTCAGAGCACACACTCTTCAACAGGAAGCTTCTTCCAACTTAAAAAAAAGCATTTCTCCACCTCTTCCAGGCTACAACAAAATGGCCTCAAACCTGCTAGTCTGAAGACATTTCCATCTCTCACACAGAAAGCGACTTCCTATGGCGGCCATTTTGTTGTAGCCCAGACAAGATGAGGAAAGGATATGGCTTTGTTTTTAAGCTGAAAGAAGCTTCTTCCTGGAGAGTGTGTGCACATTGAGGAGGTGATACTGTTTTCTTATTGTGAGAGAAGGGGGAGTCCTCTGTGCACGGGAAGGGGGGTCATGTGACTTCAGTCAGGTGACATGCCCTGTATGAAGCACACAGGTGGGGTTGTTACATTTGAATTTGGTCAGAAGGGAAATAAAAGTCTCCTCTTCTTCCTGCCCGGCTCCCCTCTGTTCCCAGCCCCATACCAGGCCTGAGGAAAGCCATATTCCCTATTGTGGGGGGTCAGGCTGACGACTGGGAGCTCTGCTCTGAGGTGTGTGTTCCCCCAGCTATGACAGGTTCTCTTCATCTCCATAGATAGGTGTGTCCTGATATGGTTGTCCTCCCTCTTCATGTCTCTCTTCCTCTCTGTGTCCATACTTCTCCCTTTCTATATCTCTTGTAGAATGTGTCACCTGGAGGTTCTTTCCTCGTCCTGTCTTTAGATTTCTGTGTCCGGGGACAACTAAGGAGAAACCTCAAACCTGATCACCTGATGGAGACGGAGCGCAGTCACATGACCGAGAGGATCTTACACCTCACCCTGGAGATCATCTACCTGCTGACCGGAGAGGTGAGGAGGATTCTGGGAGGTCACATGACATCACTCTTATCATTGTCTCTGGGAAGGGGGTTGTCAAAGAAGATAATGTGGAAGGGAGTGGGCAATTGTACTGATTTACATGAGATGTGGATTATTTTCCCTATATGTTGATATGAATTTGTGTCTTTAAACCCAGGAATGTATTATAGTGAAGAAGCCACCTGATGATCACATGACACGCATGCCACAAGGTTGGAGCAGGAAACAGAGACCCATGATGGAGCCTCCAACTCCCTCCCTAATATCTGAGATCAAGAACGACAAGAAGATTCTAGAAGTCACCCAGAAGATCATTGAGCTGCTGACAGGAGAGGTGAGCGGTGCCGGGAATTCTGGGACATGATCCAGGAACAGACAAGGGATGTGTCTGGATGGTGACTGTATCATTGTGTGTGTCAGGTTCCTATAAGGTGTCAGGATGTCTCTGTCTATTTCTCCATGGAGGAGTGGGAGTATCTAGAAGGACACCGGGATCTCTACAAGGATGTCACGATGGAGAACCGGCCGCCGCTCACATCGCCGGGTAAGAGGAGACTTTAATTTCTTGTGTATTGAGGATCCCCCTAGATACACACATCCTCTGATATAAAGACATAGAAACAATGTATTCAGTCAGTGTGTGTGTTTCCTACAGATAGATCCAGGAACAGAAATACCCCAGAGAGATGTCCCCGTCCTCTGTATTCCCGGGATTCCACACAGGAACATCATGAGATCCCTCAGGCCCGTCCTCTCTATTCCCGGGATTCTACACAGGAACATCAGGAGATCCCTCAGACCCGTCCTCTGTATTCCCGGGATTCCATACAGGAACATCAGGAGATCCCTCAGGCCTGTCCTCTGTATTCCCGGGACTCCACACAGGAACATCAGGAGATTCCTCAGGCCCGTCCTCTGTATTCCCGGGATTCCACACAGGAACATCATGAGATCCCTCAGGCCCGTCCTCTGTATTCCCGGGACTCCACACAGGAACATCAGGAGATCCCTCAGGCCCGTCCTCTGTATTCCCGGGATACCACACAGGAACATCATGAGATCCCTCAGGCCCGTCCTCTGTATTCCCGGGACTCCACACAGGAACATCAGGAGATCCCTCAGGCCCGTCCTCTGTATTCCCGGGATTCCACACAGGAACATCATGAGATCCCTCAGGCCCGTCCTCTGTATTCCCGGGACTCCACACAGGAACATCAGGAGATCCCTCAGGCCCGTCCTCTGTATTCCCGGGACTCCACACAGGAGGATCAGGTAGATAAAACTTCCAAAAAATTTACAATGAGTTTCTTTCTTGACCATCAGGGAACACAGGAATACAGATACTGTTGGGTTATACTGCAGTGTACAAGACTGGACAATGGCAAACAAGAAAGGCCGGCCCTCCTCTACCCAGCCTGCTTCAGTTTTTTATTAGTGTTGGATGGACATCTTTCTGCTCCTAAGACAAGTCTGACCAAGCTTTGCTAGCCTTCTTTGTCCATGGACGTCCATCAGGATTCCTCACTACCTCACTTCTTGAGCTCGTTCTTGCATAGCAGCCATCTGGATGAGCCTTTCCTATGCCTGACTCTGGAGTGCTGACTGATCCTTCATGGATCCTCGTAGTCAGCACCATCCTGTAGGCCCTAACACCTGAAAGATCCGGCCACACAGTTTCCCTTTAGGACAATTCCTTCGGAACCTTTTTTTCTTTTCTCAACCCGTAGTTGCAGTTACTCTCTGTAGGGGACAGAGTATGTCCTGATGACTTTGTGGAACCTATCCACCCGGGGATGGGTCCTCCTTTCTTGGCAGATCCCCAGCCTGTTGAGGAGAGTTCCTCAGATTCCTAACTGTATTCTATTCTTACCAGGGGAACATTCTTAATGGAACTGATATGGGGTGTCGGGAGGTATTGTAGGCGCATAGCTCAAGGTTTAGGCAGGACAGTCCTCTACCAGGATCCTTCAGGAGTGTCCTTGTGGCACCTTTTATGTGCCAGGCAGGATGTGTTAGCTTCAGCCTCAGAGTGGTATGATAGAATCCCAAGATAGGACTAAGGACTCGCCTTCATTCCTCTGGAGTTGCTTTTCACGCACGTTACCCCTTCAGTCACACTGACATCATGGGATTGAAACCTTGAGTTCTCTGGGGGGCTCAGGGCACTTCATACCCCAAGCGGGCTTTGGTTCTTTGCCGATACATGGCTTTTCCTGATAAGTCTCACCTAGCGAGTTTGGTTGCTGGCCAAACAACCTCTGTAGTCACAGAGTTTCTCCTCTCTATCCTAGAGGAACAGGAATGCAAGGCCTTTCTGTGTAGACCGACTAGACTTTCTTACCTGGACCTCTTTGATCCTAGAGGAACAGGAATGCAAGGCCTTTAAGTGTAGACCGGCTAGACTTTCTCACCAGGACCTGTTTCATCCTAGCTGAACAGGAGTGCAAGGCCGTTCCGTGTAGACCGGCTAGACTTTCTCACCTGGACCTGTTTCATCCTAGGGGAACAGGGGTGCAAGGCCTTTCCGTGTAGACCGGCTAGACAAGCCCATTCTGTTGTGGTCTTCCCTTCCCAGCAATTGGTTATGGTTTCACCTATTTTGAGTGGCTTAGTTCAGGTTCAGGTCTTGATCCTTCAGACGGCTCCCCTACTGCCTGGGGAGCCATCTGAAGGATCAAGACCTGAACCTAAAATGGTTTAGGTGAGCCCCATTGTCTAGTTGGGTTTGTTAGTGATTGTTGTTGTGCTCCTCACCCCATAAGTGGACTGCCTGTGGACATCATGACAGTTTCTGAATTCATGTGTCTGTCTCTCCAAGGACCAGAAAGAATATAGGATTTTTGTACTCAGCATTTAAACATTTTGTTGGAGTCTAGTGAAGGATGGAGAGAGGAGGTGTTGTAACTTTTTTTTTTTTCTAGTGTCCAATCCTCCTGTAGGTGACAGTATAACCTCACAGTATCGGAATTCCTGTGTTCCTCAGTGTACTCCAAGTAGAAGATTTTACCTTAAGTACAAAAAAACAAAATGTTATGTTACATTTTAATCCAGATAATATTGCAAAGAACCTGATGTATTTTATTCAGGACGAAGGCCTAATTGTGATTAAAGTTGAAGAAGAAGAAGAAGAGCCTTATATGATGGATGACGAGTTGTGTAAGGAAGAGGACATCCCTCCAGAGATCAGCACAGGTGAGTAATAAATACTAAATCCAGAAAAGAGTCCCAGATTCTCCTTGTTCAGTCACTACAACAATCTCTTCTTCTCCCCCCTCCTCTGTCAGTAGACAGTAATGGGGGGACGGAATGTGTCTAGTGGGGGGAGTCAGGAGCCATCAGCCTCTATTAGACTCCGGCTCTCCTCCTCACATCATGTCATTGTGTGTTACCAGCCAAGAGACGTGACCAGTCCCCCCCACACACACTCTCTGGGGTCTCTCATACATCTCAGTACAGGGGGCTTCACTCTCATCTCTATTCAAAGACCCCAGAGAGATCCAGAGAGACGTCCATGCTGAAGAGGAAGGAGGTCATGTGAGGATCAAACAGAACCAAATTCCTATAGACATCAGCACACGTAAGTCATAAACACTAATACAGTAAAAATGTATTCATACTTGCCATCAATTCCATTTCTTTGAGGGAAACCCACCACTCTGGGTCTATGACCATGCTCTTGGTACTGCTTTTCCACAAAACTAAAGCATGCTGGGAGTGGGAGGGGTTATACCGAGCTGGCCACAGTTTTTTTTGTTTGCCATTATCCAAATCCTCCAGTAGGTAGCAGTATAACCCAATAGTCTCTGATTTGCTTTGTCCCTCAAGAACTCTAAAATATGGATTCAATTTTATTCTAGCTAACATGTATCTGTTTAAATGTTCTTTCATTGTTCTTGTTCCCATTTATAAATTTTTCTTTTCTACTAGATGGACAACAAATCAGGAGTGACATGGAGGAACCTCACATGATGTACAGTACATGCAGTTCTCTAGGAGTAGACCCCATTAACCCCAACCTCCATCTCTTGCCCAGTACCGCTTTGTCATCTGATCCCTCTGCACCTGGAGGAACCTTTTACGGTCCCTCACCTTCCATCACCCCTCATACAGATCATAGCGTGTGTTACGTTTGTGGGAAATTCTTTACCAGGAATGAAACTCTCACCGTACACCAAAGATCTTACACGGGGGAGAAGCCATGTTCTGTGTGCGGGAAATGCTTTCTTAGAAAATTGTGCTTCACCAATCAAGAAAAGCCCCATACGGAAGAGAAGCCGTACGTTTGTTCGGAATGCGGTAAATGCTTCAGCCAGAAGTCCAATCTTACCTTCCACCAGCGGATTCACACCGGCGAAAAGCCGTATTCTTGTTCCCAGTGTGGTAAATGCTTTAATGTCAACGCCCGTCTTCTCCAGCATCAAAGAACTCACACCGGGGTGAAGCCGTATTCGTGTTCGGAGTGCAGAAAATGTTTTACGGAGAGCTCGGCTCTTGCAAAGCACAAGAGAATTCACACGGGGGAGAAGCCGTATTCGTGTTCGGAGTGCGGCAAATGTTTTACTCAGGGGTGCCACCTTGAGTTACATAAGAGGACTCACACCGGGCAGAAGCCGTATTTATGTTCGGAGTGCGGGAAATGTTTTGCTACCAGTTCAGCTCTTGTTAATCACAGAAGAACTCACACCGGGGAGAAGCCGTATTCCTGTTCATATTGCGAGAAATGTTTCACCCGGAAAAAAAATCTTCTGTTGCATCAGAAAGTTCACACTGGGTAAGATCCATATTCGACAACGTGAAATCATTAATCCGGTGCGGGAAAGGTTCTCTCACTGAAGGTCCACACAAACCTTAAACCACATGTTTTCAGAGATTCTTATCCTTGCGTCACATCCTAGAGCTTCCCGGAGAGTTCCTTTCTGCCGGAAGGAGACCACTATACATATGTTTTTGCCTACTTGTTAATACGAACAATAACAATATGGGTTTCATTCCTTCTGTGTCTGTTTTCATTGTGTTAACCATTATTTGAGGTTTATACAGTTGGTGTCCTAGGCACATGGTCAGCTATAAAATAGAGATGATAGAAATAACACACACCTGTCACTGGTCACCATCAGCCCACGTGCCGGAAGACAAACCTCCTTCATAAAGTACAGTCCAATCTTCTTGTATGGGCAACAAAAATGTACTCAATAGGTTGCATAGTCGTGGCTTCGGCTGTGATGTCATTCAGCTCGGGAGGGCCCGGTCATCGTCACAGAGGAGTATGTCCAAAGGGGGTTGGGATTACATAGGGGTGAGTTCTGAATTTTGACCAATTCCTGCTATCCTGGCCTTGTCAATGGACATTTGGTGAAGAAACAGGTCCGAAAATTCTTGGTCCATCCAGATGTAGGCTCCGTGCGGGAAATGCACAAGCAGACAGCAGTGATTCCTCTACGCATGCATGGGGGGTAGCGCTGGATTTCTCTCTTTCAGCATTTGGGGGATGGAGAGAAAATTGTACCGTGTATGGCCTCTTTAATGTTGGGCTTACAGAAAGGGTTAGTGTTGGGGTTACAGGTAGAGTTGGGGTGGGTCAGTGTTAGGTTTACAGAAAGGGTTACTGTTGGGATTAGAGTTGGGGTTGAAGTCACAGCAAGGGTTAGTGTTAGGTAGGGATGCACCGATACCGGTAGTCCCATTCCGGAGGCCGGGCCGTGTGTAATGACTCGCTACACGATTATCAAGGAAGCCGTCTCCCCGCTCCCGTGTCATCAGGCGACGAGGAAGCACGGAGCCAGCTTTATGGCTAATCATGGAAGCCGGGGGGCGTGCAATGACTCGTCGCCTTTCTTCCTGATTGCCCAGCTTCCCGACAAATCAGGAAGCTGGGCGGCTAGTCATTAAATGTTGCCCGGCTTCCTGAGTGGCCGGGAAGCCAGTGTTCTGTCGAAGGCTCCAACTCGTCGAAATCTGTAACTGTAAGGGTTACAGGGACGGTTAGGGTTACAGGGACTACGGTTAGGGCAACAGAGTGGGTTAGTGTACGGGTTCCAGAATGAGTGAGGATTAAAGATAGGGTTACAGGGACGGTTAGCGTTACAGAGTGGGTTAGTCTACGGGTTCCAGAATAAGTATGGGAATTAAAGATAGGGTTAGGGTTACAGGGATGGTTAGGGTTACAGGGAAGGTTAGGGTTACAGGGACGGATAGGGTTACAGGGACGGTTAGGGTTACAGGGACGGTTAGGGTTACAGAGTGGGTTAGTGTACAGGTTCCACAATGAGTGTGAGGATTACAGATAAGGTTAGGGTAGGTTAGGGTTACAGGGACGGTTAGGGTTACAGGGAAGGTTAGGGTTACAGGGACGGTTAGGGTTACAGGGAAGGTTAGGGTTACAGGGACGGTTAGGGTTACAGGGAAGGTTAGGGTTACAGGGACGGTTAGGGTTACAGGGATGGTTAGGGTTACAGGGAAGGTTAGGGTTACAGAGTGGGTTAGTGTACGGGTTCCACAATGAGTGTGAGGATTACAGATAAGGTTAGGGTTACAGGGACGGTTAAGGTCCAGGTCCCAAGAAGGGATTGGGTGGGGATTAGGGTTACCGTTCTGTTAAACACATGAACAACCTGTACTAGTGATGGTCTCAGAGGGCAGCACATGACGTTGGATCACCAGTCAGTTCTTCTGGATCGGGTTTAAACAACATTTCATCAAACGTAACAATACAAAATCACCAAGTGGTACTCATGCCTGACAACGATGGCCGCCTATTAGCACATCGTTACCTGAGGTGGTCGATGATAATTTGCCTTCATCTATAACACTGTTGGCGGTTCATGTAACTGGGTCGCAGGGCAGGACTTTAGCTGTCTCCAGCGGGCACACGCTTCAGTCAGCATGGAGTACAGAACCGTGCCGACCTCATTTATGGTGGAGATAGGATTCTCAGCCTTAGGTAAACCCATCTGGGTACATGGGCATTGCCTGTTAGATTGCAAGCTCTTGGGAATAGGGATGAATTGTACAGTCATCAGGAACATGCTGCCCAATCAGTAATGGTCCAACAATCATCTCACGGTGCATTGTCACTTCGATCGCAAGCTCTTGGGACTAGGCCTGATGCCTTGTACGGTGTTCAGGAACTTGATGCGGAATCAGTAACGGTCCAGCAATCATCTCACAGCTCCGCGTCTCCTGAATCTGTCCAGTCCATGGACACGGGGCGGCGCCATGCCTAAGGAGTTCCTGCTCATGCTTTGCAGGCCTGGGTTCTGCTCACACCAGTAGAACTCTAAGTGTCGTCATACGTGTCCATAGCTGACCATGCTCTGGAAGTATTGGTGTCATTGAGTCCAGGACGGATGGGGGTGACCCATTTTCATTCATAGGGCGCCTCTGTACACAATACTGAACGACGAATGTCTAATGATGACAGAACACATCCGGCATTATACAATAATGAAAATACAGAAATCACTTCACGTAAGACACGGTGCTTTACATCCCAGATACAGCCTGACATTATATAGAGACACTTCCCCTAGTTATCTATAATACAAATATGATTCCAGCTCAGGCTGGGTACATGGAGACCCCCCACTGTCCTGAGGAGCTCTTTGTCCTCTCTATGGTCATTATTCTCCTCCTTTGGTTTATTCCAGTGTACAGCCAGAGCCACCACTAGAGGGCGAACAAGGAAAAGTCCTCAGTGCCCTTGGTGGCCATTTTGTTGTAGAGCAAATTAGGAGGAAGAGGAAGGCTTGTTCACTAGCATCCTGGAAGGGAGGCTGGAGAGTGTGCACCCGGTGAGGAGGAGGTCATGATGAATTCTTATTATGATATAACGGGGTCCCAGCACTCTGTGTGGACTATGGGGGGGGGGGGGAATCATGTGATCGGGGAGTCAGGTCATGTGCCTTACATAAAGTACTCATGTAGGATCGTTTCTTTCAAAACTGGGCTCCATTGTGAATTTTCTTTTTGTCTGTTCCACAGATATTGTTTTATTTTGCTATTTTGGACTTTGATATTCCTTTCTTTTTTCCTTCACAGTGAGACCCGTCCTTTTCCAACCGCGTGGAGTCTATCGGGGACATTAATGTGGTAGAAGGTGATCCTAAAGAAGGAATCCTTTCAAAAAGGCCCATCCATTGACCCCTCCCCCCCTCGCAGCGGGGTTACAGAGTATCTAAACAGCACCGGATTGAAGATGGAGACGGAGCGCGGTCACATGACTGAGAGGATATTAAACCTCACCCTGGAGATCGTCTACCTGCTGACCGGAGAGGTGAGGAGGATTCTGGGAGGTCACATGACATCACTCTTATCTCTAATAATAAAACACAGACCTGACCGGAGAGGTGAGGAGGATTGTGGGAGGTCACATGACGTCACTCTTATCTCTATTAATAAAACACAGACCTGACCGGAGAGGTGAGGAGGATTCTGGGAGGTCACATGACATCACTCTTATCTCTAGTAATAAAACACAGACCTGATCGGAGAGGTGAGGAGGATTCTGGGAGGTCACATGACATCACTCTTATCTCTAGTAATAATACACAGACCTGACCGGAGAGGTGAAACTTATTGTAATGAGAATTATGTTGATGAATCGAGGAAGTTTAATCTGCTTTGGATGGTGACATAAGTTGTGTTTTGGCTTTTCATATAGAATTATATCACTTTCAAGTTGTCTGATGGCTTAGTTGCTTCCAACATGATGAAGATCCAAAACCCCGACATAGATCCTCCATCTCACTCCCTGAGAAAGACCAAGAAGGTGGAAGAAGTCACCAGCGAGATGATTGAGCTGCTGACGGGAGAGGTGAGCGGTGTCGGGGATTCTGGGACATGATCCAGGAACATACAAGGGATGTGTCTGGATGGTGACTGTATCATTGTGTGTGTCAGGTTCCTATAAGGTGTCAGGATGTCTCTTTCGATGCAGAAGAAGATAAATATTTAGGACACCGGGAGCTCTTCAAGGACGTCATGACGGAGAACCGGCCGCCCCTCACATCACCGGGTAAGGTATCTATCCCTCGAGATACACACATCATCTGATATAAAGACATAGAAACAATCTATTCAGTCAGTGTGTGTGTTTCCTACAGATGTATCCAGGAACAGAAATACCCCAGAGAGATGTCCCCGTCCGCTGTATTCCCGGGATTCCACACAAGAACATCAGGAGATCCCTCAGACCCATCCTCTGTATTCCCGGGACTCCACACAGGAACATCAGGTAGATGGAACTTAGCATCCTAATGATAACTAATACTATGTTTCATTCAGAATATAATGCAGATATTGTCCTCTGTCTTCTCATACTTTTTGTTCCCTTAAAGGGTTTTTTAAACCCTCCGGTGTTTTTGCATATATATATATATAAGTCTTGCAAGCAGTAGATATATGCAAAAAAAAACCACTTTAAAAGCGGTTTAAGCTTACCTGTGTCTTCCCCGCACGCTCCCATCCGAAAATGTTAAAATTCTCGGGCGGCCGCAAAGCATCTTGGGGCGGGCGCATGCGCAGTTCACATTTTTGTCAGGGATGCGAGGAGAGACGCAAGGTAAGTCTATGGACGGCATGCACCCGCATGCAGACACCGTGGGACAGGAAGTGGCAGCAAGGACAGAGGAGTCAGCGCTGGTTCGGAGACCCGCCGCAGTGCTGGAGGGACAGATGAAAAGGACAGGAAAGAAGAGGAAGATCGGATTAGGAGACATCATTTAAGGTAAGTGCTGACATTAATATTGGGGGGAGGGGTGGGAAGGTTTGCCTTTAATGTCACTTTAAGATGACAGGAGTTCCTCAGCAGGATCTGGTGGAGGCTTTTCTATATTTGAAGTATCTTACTTTGTGAGGCAATACTGCTTTTATGTTCAAGAACCGTTTTATCCCTGTGTAGGGTACACTGGACGTAAACTGGATTGACTGTAAACCAGAAGTTAAAGAGGAGCCAGAAGAGCTGTATGTGACGGGTGATGAGCCGTGTAAGGAGGAGGAATGTTCTCCAGAGATCAGCACAGGTGAGTCAGTAGACAGTAATGGGGGGACGGAATGTGTCTAGTGGGGGGAGTCAGGAGCCATCAGCCTCTATTAGACTCCGGCTCTACTCCTCACATCATGTCATTGTGTGTTACCAGCCAAGAGAAGTGACCAGTCTCCCCCCACACACACTCTCTGGGGTCTCTCATACATCTCAGTACAGGGGGCTTCACTCTCATCTTTATTCACAGACCCCGGAGACACTCAGAGGGACGTCAAAGTTGAGAAGACGGCAGAAGAAATACACCAACAGACTCACACAGGCTTTCCGCCGACGGATCCAAACAAGCCGTACTCCTGTGCCGAGTGCGGGAAAAGCTATATGAAAAATTCTGGCCTTCTGCGACATCAGAGAGCTCACACCGGGGAGAAGCCGTATTCATGCTCGGAATGTGAGAAATGTTTTGCTATGAACGCAGATCTTGTACAACACCAGAGAACTCACACAAGGGAGAAGCCGTATTCCTGTTCTGAATGTGGGAAATATTTCATGTGCAAGTCAAATCTCACTGTACACCGTTTGACTCACACAGGCTTTCCGCCGACGGATCTGCACAAGCCGTACTCCTGTTCAGAGTGCGGGAAAAGTTTTAAGTTTAATGCTAGCCTTCTCCGACATCAGAGAACTCACACAGGAGAGAAGCCGTATTCATGCTCAGAATGCGGGAAGTGTTTTACGATAAATGCTGGCCTTCTCCGACATCAGAGAGCTCACACCGGGGAGAAGCCGTATTTATGCTCGGAATGCGGGAAGTGTTTTGCTACGAACGCATATCTTGTTCAACACCGAAGAACTCACACGGGGGAGAAGCCGTATTCCTGTTCTGAATGTGGGAAATGCTTTAGTCAGAGGACCAGTCTTATTTTACACGAGAGGGCTCACACAGGAGAGAAACCATATTCATGTACGGAATGTGGCAAACATTTCAGGCAGAAGTCAAATCTCACTCTCCACCGATGGACTCACACAGGCTTTCGACCGACGTACAGGCACAAGGCATACTCCTGTTCCGAGTGCGGGAAAAGTTTTACGATAAATGCTAGCCTTCTCCGACATCAGAGAGCTCACACCGGGGAGAAGCCGTATTCATGCTCGGAATGCGGGAAGTGTTTTGCTATGAACGCAGATCTTGTACAACACAAGAATACTCACACGGGGGAGAAGAGATATTCTTGTTCTGAATGTGGGAAATGCTTTAGTCACAGGAGCAGTCTTGCTTCACATGAGAGAACTCACACTGGGGAGAAGCCGTATTCATGCTCCGAATGTGGGAAACGCTTTAGTCAGAGGAGCAGTTTTGCTTTGCATAGGAGAACTCACACCGGGGAGAAGCCGTTTTCCTGTTCTAAGTGTGGGAAATGCTTTAGTCAGAAGAACAGTCTTGTTTTGCATGAGATAACTCACACCAAGCAGAAGCCGTCTTCATGTTCATAACGCAGCTTCCATTCAAGCTTGAGGATACCATGCCGTGGTATTGATGTGGCGCACGTCACCTTAAAATTAGAACAAGAGCCAGTTTCTGTTACTATTCCGAGATCCCTGAAAGGCCGCAAGACTGTCACAACGTTTCTGGGTCACTCCCTACTTGCTTTGAACGGTGACTGATGAACAATTCACTCTTCCCACACGCCTAATAGACCAATACCAATAGACCAATATCCCGGCCTAATACAACACCGAACCCACTGAGCATGCACCAGTGTTGAAGGATCCCATCTACAAACGCTTTCCAGATCATTGTCTCTGCTCACATGTCCTTGCTATCTCCCCGCCATACCTGGAATGTGTTCAACCTTCGGGGAATGGGCCAACCTGATGTAGAAGAATCTGGCTACTACCCTTCCTGATCCGGTCTTTGTAGAAGGTTTAGAGCTTATGACTTCGGCCCGATACTATGACGTAGATGGATTAGTTGGCATTGTCCCAAAGGAGTCCCTATCAGTGAATATGCAGAGAACTCTTTGGCTTCTCCAGATGTACAAAACGCACGCTATGCATGTCTATTGAAGGTCTACATCTTTCTGGTTCCTCTTCGGATGCCCTCATAGGATGCCATGGGGGGGGGGGGGGGTGTTTTGCTATTTGTGTATCTGGTTCTTGTAGTAAAACCAAGGAAACTGACCCAATAGTATTTGTTTGCGTTTTTACTATACAACAAAAGTACTACATACACAAAGCTAATTTGTTAAAGGTAAAAACTAGGGATGCACCGATGCCGTCATTTTCGAGTACCGATATTTTTTTCCCGGTTCTCGCACCGATACCGAACACCGATGCCTTGTGCCCCGATTATCCGGAAGTCGGGTGGCGGATCATGATCTGTCGCCCGGCTTCATGATTGTCTTTGAAGCCGGTGTTCTAGTGAAAGAACTCAGGCTTCTCTTGCCGAGGCTGCCTAGCAACAAGTGAAGCTGACTTCCTAGCCATTCAGGAAGCTGGGTGGCACGTCAGACCCGCCCTCCTGCTTGGCTAGGAAGCCGGCTTAACTTGTTCTAGACAGCATGGCTTCCTGATCAATCAGGAAGCCGGGCAGCACCCTTATGACTCGCGCCCCGGCTTGGTTATGATGCCAGGCTGCTTAGCAACACGTGAAGCCGTCTTCCTAGCCAATCAGGAAGCCGGGTGGCACATCAGATCCCCCTTCCGGCTTCCTGCTTGACTAGGAAGCTGGCTTCACTTGTTCTAGGCAGAGTGGCTTCCTGATTAATCAGGGAAGAGGGTCATTACACGCTGCCTGGCTTCCTGATTGGTTAGGAAGCCAGGCTGCTTAGCAACACGTGAAGCCAGCTTCCTAGCCAATCAGGCGCCATGCTCATATCGGAGGTGAGTATCGGAGCATTTGGGTGAGTATCGGTGCATCCCTAGTAAAAATAATATAAAATACAGACGGCTACAATACATACATACACATGCATACATTCCACCCTTCTCTAGCACATGCAATGGCTTCTTTAGGAGGATACACTGAAAAGTCTCGGGGGGAAAATGGCTTCTTGTCGTGGCTTAGTGTTGTCCTCTGTTCCAGTGAGGAGCTCTGGTCAAAGTTCCTCAGTGAAGTCCTCCTAATGGCTTCTGCCCATCCATCTCTATCCTTGTTGCTCCCGTTCACTCACATGAGGAATACACGATAGGTCCAAAGAACACAATCATATCTTTCTCAGGATTGCGGTTGGATGGCAACTGAAGTCTCTTTGAAGGTGATAAACAGCGGCTGTAACACATTTCTGATGCTCGGGTGAGATAAGTCATTTCCAGGGGCTACAAGCTGGAGTTCTGCTCTCTGCCTCCTGCCCATTTCATACTATTCAGCCAAGACTAGCAGACCTCCATGCTGCTCTTGCAGATCTCTTGAGCCTGGGGGCTATTTTTCCTAAGGCAGAAAGGTTTCAGAGGTTTTATTCCAACCTATTCAAAAACCAAATGCCCCATCTGCCCCATCATGGATCTGATTGTTTTAAAGGTCCAAACTAGAATGCACCAGGTCTGTCATAGCCTGCCTATATGTGGGGGACTTTACAGCCTCCGTAGATATCCAGGATGTGTATTTTTATGTCCCCATTGTTCCATTGCATCCATGCTATATCTGTTTTTGCTGTGGGAGCTCAACACTACCAGTTGGAAGCCCTTCCATTTGGTCTGCCCTGGTTCAGCAAGGTATTGACATCTATGCTAGCCTCGTGATGCACCCAGGGTACTCCCATAATGGGATACCTACACAATCTCTTATGGAGGGAACGGTTAGCGCAGATACTGACCAACAATGTCATGCAGAGAGTCTAGACGTTCAAAAGGTTTGGTTGGATCCCGAACGTTCAGAAGTCAGTGCTGGACATACCTCTTGGGAGTATGTGGGTCTCCTCCTAGGCACAGCTCAAGCCAGACTTTTTTGTCTGGCTCCAGTTCCTCAAAGAAATCATGGGAAGGAACCCAGTTGGAACTGTAAAACAATATTGTCCGAATGCAAAGGAAATATCCGGATCAATAAAAGGCGTGGAACATCAATCAACTAATAGAAACATCCTACACATAAAATCCCTGATAAGCCTGTTTATGAGAATCTCAACCATTGGATAAGATGTGAGGATAAGCATAGATCCCAGACTTTATCCATGCATCCCCGAGAGGGTTAGGCCATATTGACAAAACTCCAAAGAGGAAGCCATAGAAGCCTTCTATTTAAGGACAATGGCTATCCTTGCATAATACAAGAGAAGACTTAAGAAAGTCCTTGCGATACGAGTCTGGGGCTACTGGTTCAGCCAGACCCAAGAGACAGATCTCGACTATAAGAGGGATCATAGTGGTGGTGACCGATGTTATAAAGGTTTGTACTTCCTGCCAAAATGTCTGAATAACCCGGCACGTCCATACCATATGAATGAAGTCAGCATAAGCCTTGGAACACCTCCAGCACTGCGAGGGTAAATTCTGTGTATTTTATAAATGAACCCGATGGACGATCTTGAAGTATATCAACTTATATCTAGCAGAGACCAAGTTTGTAAGCGGATAACCCCACATGTCCTCCCCCATTTCCTGTGAGTCAACACCCGAGGCATCTGAGAGCCATTGAGAGCGAATACTGTTCAGACTCCCGTGAACAGGAAGAGTTTTGTACGTCGAGGATAGAGGTTTGTTCAAACCCTCAGAATGTAGGAGAGATTCCACTTCATAGGGTATCAATTCCAACTGCTCTACACCAAACTGGGCATGGAAGACGTGTCGCAATTGAAGGTATCTAAAGAGGTATTAGGCCATTTAAACCTCTGTTTCAGTCTAAAGTGAATGAGACCACGGTCCTCTACTATGCGTGTTAGAGTTTTTATACCCCCTGAAGCCCAAATTACTAGATCTGGGATGGCATAAACGTGCCTCAAACTGGGGTTCAGCCATAGTGGTGTGTGAGGGGAGTATCTGCATGGTGGGACATTGAATTTCTTATGCGTTAGGTCCCAGGCCTTTATCATAGCCAGCATGGTAGTAGTGAGATTATAAGGTGCCGATCCACCCCTATAGAGAAGGTTAGTGAGAGCTTCATAGGACCCCGCACACGCAGCCTCCGAAACCATAGCGGCATTCGACTTATCCAAAATCAGCCAAATTATGTGCGTGACAAAGTAGTGCCACCCGGAAATAGAAATCTGGCCACACCCCCATGTTGCCAAAGTCTCTGTAGAAGTGATAGAGGAACATTTGGACAATTAGGCCCCCAGAAAAAGGGTATAGTCAAATAATCCAGCTGTTTATTGTGAGGGAATCCAGGTAGGGGCAGGTCTCTGTACATAAAGAACAATGGACAAAACTTTCATCTTGACTCCATTTAGTCTCCCAAGAAGGAATAAAAAGGAGATTTTCTAATGCTTTGAATTTGCCTTTGATGGTAGATAGCAGAGGAGTTAGGTTCAAGCTACAATAGTCAGTAACCGTAGTTATCGGTACAGCCAAATAAGTTATTTCAGCAGCCCAGCGGAGCGGAAGATCCGGGTCTGCATGAGCTTTAGCCTCAGCAGCAATCGGGATTTGTCCCAATACACCCGGAGTCCGGGAAAAGGCCAACCAATCGAGATGGACCAGCATCTCCCAGCATTAAGATAAGGTCATCCACATACATTCAAAATCTTATTTTGTAAAAAAGTACGGCCAATGGTTTTCGGTAGATACCGGTTTTTCGATATCTATATTTATTTTTTCAGTACTCGCTGATACCGGAAGTCATATTAAGGAAGCCGGGCAGCGTGTAATGACTGGCCGCCCGGCTTCCTGATTAGTCGGGAAGCTGCCCAATCAGGAAGTCAGGCAGCGAGTCATTGCCCGCCCACTGGCTTCCTGATTGGCCAGGAAGCCAGCTCTATACTTACTCGTCACCTGGTGGTAAGGGAGAATGGAGACGGCTTCCCGGCTATTTAGGAAGCTGGGCGGCGAGTCATTACACGCTTCCTTAATGGGACTTCAGGTATCGGCGAGTACTGAAAAAAAAATATAGATATCGAAAAAACGGTATCTACCGAAAACCATTGGCCGTACTTTTTTACAAAATAAGATTTTGAATATTAATATGAAATCTCATGACACTTTGTACAAGACGCTCCTCTCCCCCCACGTACTCAGTCCACTTTGCCGAAGAGGCAGTACTCTGAGCGGTTCCTCCAGTATGAGCAGCCCAAGTCCAATCTAAGCAAGTTGCCATACGGTCCACACAAGCTGGGTCTCCGGAAGCAGGTTCAATTTTAGAAATCTTTATCCGAAACAGAACACTGGTCCTTTGACGCCCAGAAGTGTTTCAGGGCCTGTGGCACAGGTCGGGGTGCCAAATGTGGACCTCCAGTGCTCCAGGTTCAACAACAAACTGGACGGGTTTGTCTGCAGATGCGGAGATCCTTGTGGGGGAAGGAAGCAGTGGATGCTCTGGTGACTCCGTGGAACCAATACCGCTTGATCTATGCTTTTCCTCCTCTGAAACACCTTCCTTATCTTTGGATCAAGGTGGATGACATTCAGGTGATCTCAGCTGGCCCAGAAATATCACAATGGCTCCTCCTGTAAGTAGTTCATCCTCTTGTTTTGCAGATCTGGATTTCATTCACACCAGTAGAGCACTGAGGGTCATTGAGCGTGTCCAGAGCTGACTCTTATCTGGAAGTATTGGTGTGAGCGCCATTGTGTCCAGGATGGATTTGGATGACTCCACCCTTCTTGCGCCTCTGTACACGATACTAAATTTGGAATCTGTAACATGACGGACAATGGAAGATAAACAAATCACTTCAAGGTAAACATAGTGCGTTACATCACAGATACGGCCCAATATTATAAAGACATGTCCCCCCAATTATCTATTATATAGTTATAATACAAATAGGAACAAAAGGTACATAGAGACCCCCTCTGTCCTGGGAAGCTGTCTGTCCCCTCTATGGTCATTATTATTCTCCATAGATCCAGTATGGAGTCACCACTAGAGGGCAATCGTCTGCCATGCGAGAGGAGGAAGTCTCCTCAGTTCCGGGGGGCGGCGGCGGCCATTTTGTTGTAGTCTGGAAGAGGCGGACAGAGGAGTTTTTATGTGAAATAAATTTCCTGCTGCTTTGTGTGGCCAGTGAGGAGGAGGTGGTAATATCGGCTTCTTATTCATTCTTATTAGCAATTTCTATAGAAGGGGCTGTCTGTGAGTTATTGGATCACGTGTTTTGGATAAAGTGGAAGAGCTGAAATTCAGGCAAATATCAAATCTGGGTCAATGTAGCCATTTTGTTGTAGACCAGAATAGGAGGAAGAGGAAGGATATTTTACTCCTAAAGTCCTGGTAGAGATGTGACCGTAGAGAATGTGTACCCGGTGAGGAAAAGGTAATAATGTCTTCTTATTATGATAATACGGGGTCCCAACAATCTCTGAGATCTGGATGGAGGGATCGTGGGATTGGGAGGGGGGGGTCAGGTCATGTGCCTTATATAAAGTACTCAGGTGGGATTGGTTCATCTAAAATTGGGCTCTGTTTCGGGGTGTTCCTGGGAAATTTCTTATTGGTCATTCTGTAGATATTCTGATTTTAGTTTTACTTTCTTCTTTTATGTATTTTCCTTCACAGCAACTCGCCTTTTTCCAACAGCGTGGAGCCTGTCGGGGTCAGTCATGTGGTGAAAGATGATTCTGCGTTCTTTATAGGAATTTAGAAAACAAAAGTGGGAGGATCCATCTATTGGCCCCACCATATATATTGAGAGAGCTACAAGAGTCATCCCTGCATACGATACGGTGATAGATGCCTTGAGAGAGGTGGTTTGTCCCCCCGAAACATTGGACGCTTCGTAAAGGGCCCTGGCAGAGCCAAAACGAAGACAAACACAATTCCCAAAAAAACACCAAACAAAAAAAATCACCTGATTGAAGATGGAGAAGGAGCGCGGTCACATGAATGAGAGGATCTTAGACCTCACCCTGGATATCATCTACCTGCTGACCGGAGAGGTGAGGAGGATTCTGGGAGGATTTTGGGAGTCAGACATGACATCACCTATCACTATTTTGCAGTGCTGACCAGATAGGTGAGGCTTTTAAGAAGGTCACATGACATCACTCTTATCTCTATTACTAAAACACAGACCTGACCAGAGAGGTGAAACTTATTGTAATGAGAATTATGTTGATGAATCGGGAAAGTTGAATCTACTTTGGATGGTGACATAAGTTGTGTTTTGGCTTTTAATATAGAATTATATCGCTTTCAAGTTGTCTGATGGCTTGGTGTCTTCCAACATGATGAAGATCCAAAACCCCGTTATAGATCCTCCATCTCACTCCATGCACTGTGGAGAGAGGTTGACTACCTCTTCTCCCTGGAACCCTGTTGCCAGCTCTTCAGCTGGGATCAGTAGTTCCTCTGCATCAGCCTGCTGTTGGGGAGAGGGGCCATCTGCCCCGGTTCCCTGGAGCTTCAGAGGTGCTGTTGGTGCTGGGCAGAGGTCAGCAGTGCTCTGCCCTGATGCCAGCTCTTCTCCTGGGGTTAGTGGCTCCAAAACCTCTGTGGTTGCTGGGGCATGCTGTTGAGCAGTGTCGAACAGTCTTTTGTATGCCTGTTCCAGCTCCCATTCTTGTGTAAATAAAAAGTCCAGATCAGTTCTCAACCCGAGCTCACTTGGGAGTTCCAACTCCCTAAAATCACGTATGTCCTCCCACCTCCACTCCTGTGCACTCCCAAATTGTGGATCCTCCTGGAGCGCCTCAAATATAAGTCCCGGGCCGCCGAAGTCATAGCCCTCTGTGGGATCATCCCTGTGTAGGGTACACTGGATGTAAACTGGATTGACTGTAAAACAGAAGTTAAAGAGGAGCCAAAAGAGCCGTATGTGGGTGGTGATGAGCAGTGTAAGGAGGAAGCTGAAGATCCGTCTATGATGGATGTTGAGCCGTGTAAGGAGGAGGAACGTTCTCCAGAGATCAGCACAGGTGAGTAATAAACACCAAATCCAGAAAAGAGTCCCAGATTCTCCTTGTTCAGTCACTACAACAATCTCTTCTTCTCCCCCCTCCTCTGTCAGTAGACAGTAATGGGGGGACGGAATGTGTTTAGTGGGGGGAGTCAGGAGCAATCAACCTCTATTAGACTCAGGCTCTCCTCCTCACATCATGTCATTGTGTGTTACCAGCCAAGAGACGTGACCAGTCTCCCCCCCACACACACTCTCTGGGGTCTCTCATACATCTCAGTACAGGGGACTTCACTCTCATCTTTATTCACAGACCCCGGGGGGACTCAGAGAGACATCAAAGTTGAGAAGACGGCAGAAGAAATACACCAACAGACTCACACAGGCTTTCCACCGACGGATCCGCACAAGCCGTACTCCTGTTCCGAGTGCGGGAAATGCTATAAGGTAAATGCTAGCCTTCTCCGACATCAGAGAGCTCACACCGGGGAGAAGCCGTATTCATGCTCGGAATGTGAGAAATGTTTTGCTATGAACGCAGATCTTGTACAACACCAGAGAACTCACACGGGGGAGAAGCCGTATTCCTGTTCTGAGTGTGGGAAATGCTTTAGTCAGAGGACCAGTCTTGTTTTACACAAGAGGGCTCACACAGGAGAGAAACCATATTCATGTACGGAATGTGGCAAACATTTCATAAACAAATCAAATCTCACTTTACACCGACGGACTCACACAGGCTTTACACCGACGGACGGGCACAAGGCATACTCCTGTTCCGAGTGTGGGAAATGTTTTAAGAAAAACGATAGCCTTCTCCGACATCTGAGAGCTCACACAGGGGAGAAGCCGTATTCATGCTCGGAATGCGGGAAGTGTTTTGCTATGAACACAGATCTTGTACAACACCGGAGAACTCACACGGGGGAGAAGCCGTATTCCTGTTCCGAGTGTGGGAAACACTTTAGTCACAGGACCAGTCTTGCTTCGCATGGGAGAACTCACACTGGGGAGAAGCCGTATTCATGTTCGGAATGTGGAAAGTGTTTCAGTCAGCACAGCAATCTTACATTGCATAAGAAAATCCACACCAAATAGAAGCCGTAGTCATGTTCATAACGCAGCTTCCATTCAAGCTTGAGGATACCATGCCGTGGTATTGATGTGGCGCACGCCACCTTAAAATTAGAACAAAAGCCAGTTTCTGTTACTAGTCCGAGATCCCTGAAAGGCCGTAAGACTGTCACAACGTTTCTGGGTCACTCCCTACTTGCTTGAACTGATGAACAATTCACTCTTCCCACACGCCTAATAGACCAATACCAATAGACCAATATCCCGGCCTAATACAACACCGAACCCACTGAGCATGCACCAGTGTTGAAGGATCCCATCTACAAACGCTTTCCAGATCATTGTCTCTGCTCACAGGTCCTTGCTATCTCCCCGCCATACCTGGAATGTGTTCAACCTTCGGGGAATGGACCAACCTGATGTAGAAGAATTTGGCTACTACCCTTCCTGATCCGGTCTCTGTAGAAGGTTTAGAACAGTGGTTCTCAACCTTTCTAGGGCCGGGACCCCTTGGTAACATTTGCCAAGTTGTGGTGACCCCCAACCGTAAAATTTAGGGATGCAGCAATACTAGTATCTGTGTGGGCTCTGGGACTCTCTGATGGCATCCAGAGCGGCCTCTGTGGTGCCTAGTGCGTCCTCTGTGGTGCCCAGTGCGGGCTCTGTGGTGATCAAGCACTCACCTCCCCTCACTCCTGCCTGCTTCCCTCTCTCTGATCTTCTCCGGCCGCTGCTGCTGCAGCGCCATCTAGGAGTACTGACACTGCTGCGCTAGGAGGCTGAGGAGCCTCTTACCTAGAGCAGCACAAGGCACGTGGGGACCCCCTCAACTGTGGGTTGCGACCCACAGGTTGAGAACCACTGGTTTAGAGCTTATCCCATCAGCCCCGATACTATGACGTAGATGGATTATTTGGCATTGTCCCAAAGGAGTCCCTAAATATTTTTTTGGTGTTGAGTATGAGTACCGATATTTTTTTTTCCGGTACTCACCGATACCGAACACCGATGCCTTGTGCACCAATTATCCGGAAGTCGGGTGGCGGATCATGATCAGTTGCCCGGCTTCATCATTGTCTTTGAAGCCGGTGTTCTAGTGAAAGAACTCCGGCTGCTCTTGCCGAGGCTGCCTGGCTTCCTGACCAATAATTGCACCTAGCAACAAGTGACGTTGCCTTCCTAGCCAATCAGGAAGTCAGACGGCATGTGATGACCCGCCTCCCGGCTTCCTGATTGGCTAGGAAGCCGGCTTCACTTGTTCCCAGGCAGCGTGGCTTCCTGATCGATCAGGAAGCTGGGGCGCAAGTCATGAGGTGCCGCCCGGCTTCCTGATTGGTTAGGAAGCCAGGCTGCTTAGCAACTTGTGAATCCGGCGTCCTAGCCACTTTGGAAGTCAGATGGCACAGTATGAGCCTGCTTCCTGAATGGTTAGGAAGCCAGGTTTTTCGGTTTCGAGTAGGAGTACCGATATTTTTTTTTTTCCGATACTCACCGATACCGAACACTAATGCCTTGTTCCCCGATTATCAGGAAGTCGGGTGGCGGATCATGATCTGTCACCCGGCTTCATCATTGTCTTTGAAGCCGGTGTTCTAGTGAATGAACTCCGGCTTCACTTGTTCCAAGGCAGCCTGGCTACCTGAACAATCAGGGAGGAGGGTCATGACGTGCCGCCCGGCATCCTGATTATTAAAGGAGAACTATGGGGTTAAGGCTTTTCCCCATAGTTCTCCTTAGGGTAACGGGAGGACACAAACTAGCATCCTCCCGTCACCCTAGGCTCAGTATACCGCGAGCTGCTGCTCACAGCATACTGAGACGCCCCAGTATCAGCTCGCGGTATACTGAGACACCGCAGCTGAAGCGGATGCCGACAATTATGTCTGGATCCACCCAGCTGTGTGAGTGACAGCTGGCTCTGCCTATCTAGAGGCAGAACCAGCTGTACCCTCCCCCGTCCGTTCCGCCAGTCAGCGCTGGCGGATCGGGGGGAATCCAGTCCCTCCCCTGTCACGGCTCTCTGCAGGGATAGATAGAGAAGTGAGCGAACGCCAGTATGTGTTCGCTCACCTCCCGATCTACTGAGCCGACCTGTGACAGTCTCATTGTCACAGGTCGGCTAGAACTAAGAGGTGAGTGAAAATCACTCGCCTCATACTTCTCCTTTAAGCCAGACAGCTTAACAACATGTGAAGCTTGCTTCATAGCCAAACAGGAAGCTGGGTGGAACGTCATGACCTGCCTCCCTGATTGGCTAAGAAAGCCAGGCTGGTTAGCAAAACGTGAAGCCAGCTTACTAACCAATCAGGCTCCATCCTCCCTCGGCACTGTTCCGCTGTACTCGGAGGTGAGTATCGGAGCATTTGGGTGAGTATCGGTATCGGTGCAAGGGTTGCCACCTTTTCTTCAAGTGAAACCCGAACACTCTAGCGCCGCACGCGGCAATTTTTTTTTTTTTAATATAGAGGAGAGGCAGCCAGGGGAGGGAGTGATGAGACCAGCTAGAGAGGACAACAAATCCCAGCAATACATTTTACAGCAATACAAAATAATATGAAGCTACATACTCTGTGTTGTTCTGTGTTGACGCACTGATGTCTCCACGTGGCCTGGTGGGTTGTGCGGGCTCTCGTGGTGGGCTAAATGGGCTATGCTGTCTCACCAGGGGGTCCACAGGTGGGCAGCACGATGTCAGGGAGCTGGAGGAGGAGAAGGCAATGACAGATGCGTCTGTGGGGGTCCTCGGCAAGCACGATCTTAGGCAGCCGAATCTGCCTAAAACCCGGCCCTTCCTCTGAGCTGCGGGCACCTGTAAACAGACACAGGCTGCCGGCAGCTCAGAGAAAGATCCGGGTTTAGGCAGATGCGGCTGCCCGAGATTGCACTTCCTAAAGACCTCCACAGACGCATCTGTCAGAAAATGTAAAATGCCGGTGTCGGCACTGAGTGTCTTGTGTCCGGGTGCCCACTGGCTGGACACCCGGACACAAGACTCCAAAACCAGACTGGTGGCAACCCTTAAACCGCGCCCATTTGCTCTCACTTCCTATTGTTCCTGCAGGAAGTTTAGAGAAATCTTTAGAATGGCAAGATTTACCTCACTTTGGCATACCAAACCATCCTGATTTCTGCCAGACTGTCCTGGGATTTCAAGAGGCGTAACTAGAACCTTCAGGGCCCCGGTGTAAGAAACCATGAAGGGCCCCCACAACCCTAATCTGTGCATCCCTAGTAGAGACAATGGAAAACACAGACTGCTACAATACATAGATTGATAAATCGCGTGGACTGCGCTGCTGCTCATAAATGCGCATAAACTTCCACACAATGCCTACATTCTCATGAACATACATTTTCAAACATAATAATCAATCTGACAATATTCAATAGTAGTCCTTAGTAAATCCATCTCCCGACTCCCGATGTGATAAGATAACTGAGGACACGCCCACCAGAGATCCGCGACCGTATAACTCAATGGTCAATAAACGTCATTGTGGGGAGTGTCTCTCGTGGACGGGATATTCACTCTTCTGATGAAACAGATCCTCCTTTTCGTATTACACGGCAGGTGCCGTTCACTCAGCGAGGGCAGAAATCCAATATAAAAAAGGAAAAAATGCGCCAAATTGTGAAGTAGGTAAAAAAAAAAAAAAAGAATTTATTGCAATAATAAAACACACTTACAAGATCGCCGGAATGAAATCGCCTTCCAGCAAACAATCAATCGATCCCGCCTAAGCAAACCGGAACCAGAAATCCACCTGCTAATCACCTATGGTGTAACCTTAGTACGTGTCCTATCCTTTCCGACGCGTTTCGTCCCTTGACTTTTTCCAGGAAAGGTTCACAGACTGAGGTATAGCTCGGGCTTCCTTATATAGCCCAAGGATGAATCATCGAATTGCCTCCAGAGGCCACTAATAGACTTCACACGTTAGCAGTGCACGCAGTGGATTTATCTACCAGGGCCCAGTTGCAGCTGTGACCCTGGTAGTTCTGCCACTGACTCCAGCCTGTAGAGGAACTAATCCCAGCAATACATTATACAGCAATGCAGAATACCGCCAACTATAGAGGACTACAAATCCCAGCAATGCAGAATACCACCAACTATAGAGGACTACAAATCCCAGAATACCCCTAACTACAGTGGACCACAAATCCCAGCAAAACATTATACAGCAATGCAGAATACCACCAACTATAGAGGACTACAAATCCCATCAATACATTATACAGCAATGCAGAATACCGCCAACTATAGAGGACTACAAATCCCAGCAATACATTATACAGCAATGCAGAATACCTCCAGCAATAGAGGACTACAAATCCCAGCAATACATTATACAGCAATGCCCAATACCACCAGCTATAGAGGACTACAAATCCCAGCAATACATTGCTACATAGAGGCTGTGCAGATCTGACTGTCCCGGATTGCCTTTGTAGTTGGTACGCGATGCGGGACGGTCACAATCCGGCAGAGGCGGCACCCTCTAAACAGGCATATTAGATGGCTGCTCGCGGGCACCTCTAGGGGTCCTAGCGAGGAGGAAGCGGTTACATGCCGCCCGGCTTCCTGATTAGCCGGGAAGCTTAATCCATGCTTCCCGGGGGATGCCGGATGTGGACCTCCAGTGATCCAGGTTCAACAACAAACTGGACAGGTTTGTCTGCAGAGATCCTTGTGGCAGAAGGAAGCAGTGGATGTTCCGGTCACTCCATAGTACCAGTACAACCCGATCTATGCTTTTCCTCCTCTGAAACACCTTCCTTATCTTTGGATGAAGATGGAGGGCATTCCAGTGATCTCAGCTGGCCCAGACATATCACAATGGCTCCTCTGACATCTGTCCAGGCCACGGACACAGAGCAGCACCTTAGCTAAGTAGTTCATCCTCTTGCTTTGCAGAGCTGGGTTTCGTTCACACCAGTAGAACACTGAGGCTCATGCAGCGTGTCCAGAGCTGACTCTGATCTGGAAGTATTGGTGTGAGCACCATTGTGTCCAGGATGGATTTGGCTGACTCCACCCCCCTAGCGCCTCTGTACACGATACTAAATCTGGAATCTGTAACAATGACGGAGCTATCCTGCGTTATACAATAAGGAAGATAAAGAAAACATAGTGCGTCATATCACAGATACAGTCTGATATTATAGAGACATTTTCCCCCAATTATCTATCATATTGTTAAAATACAAATAGGTACATGGAGACCCCCTTCTGTCCTGGGAAGTTGTCTGTCCCTTCTATGGTCATTATTCTTCTTCATAGATCCAGGTTGGAGTCACCACTAGAGGGCAAATGTCTGCCATGCGAGAAGAAGTATCCTCAGTTCTGGAGGGGTGGCGGCCATTTTGTTGTAGACCAGAATAGGAGGAAGAGGAAGGATATATTACTCCTAAAGTCCTGGTAGGGATGTGACCGTAGAGAATGTGTACCTGGTGAGGAAAAGGTAATAATGTCTTCTTATTATGATAGTACGGGGTCCCAACAATCTCTGAGATCTGGATGGAGGGATCATGTGATTGGGGGCGGGTCAGGTCATGTGCCTTATATAAAGTACTTAGGTGGGATTGGTTCATCTAAAATTGGGCTCTGCTTCGGGCGTTCCCAGGAATTTTCTTATTGGCCATTCTGTAGATATTGTATTACGAATCTGGTCTGGGAGACTGGATGGTTGAGGAGGCTTCCCTTGCACCTCGTGTCTAAAAGCCTTTGAGGATGGTGACAGAGGCCAGGCAGACACCGAGTGGGACGAGTGCCAGTAGTTATGAAACCGTGCAAGTAGAAGGGTAATCCAGAATTCAAAGTCGAGGCAAGCCGAGGTCAAAATCCAGGAGGTCAGTTGCAGTACCGAAGGAAGAGGCAGAAGAATAATCAAAACAGTCCAGGGTCAAAAAGGCAGGTGGCAGTCAAGGCAGGTAGTTGAGGCAGGAACGGGTCAAAATCCAGGCAACGGCAATCTAATATTCAAGACAGGAAACAGGAGACACAACACAGACAGGAGCTGATAAGACAATCCAGCAAGTAAGTGACAGGCTGGCTTGGTTTAAATAGGGAAGTGAACTAATCAATTATGTCACTTCCTGTGGGCCTTTGGCACATTTTTCTTAGAACACGCTCCATCTGCGCATCACTTCCTGTGCGCCTTTGGCACATTTTTCTTAGAACACGCTCCATCTGCGCATCACTTCCTGTGCGCCTTTGGCACATTTTTCTTAGAACACGCTCCATCTGCGCATCACTTCCTGTGCGCCTTTGGCACATTTTTCTTAGAACACGCTCCATCTGCGCATCACTTCCTGTGCGCCTTTGGCACATTTTTCTTAGAACACGCTCCATCTGCGCATCACTTCCTGTGCGCCATTCTGCGCGTCTTTCTGTGGGAAGTGGTCGTTGTGCGCATGCGCGTATTCTTCTGCCTAGCGGTACTTGGCGCATGCGTGGAACGGGCATGGTGCTTACACATAGTGACTTCAGACTTCAGTTTTCCTTTCTTCATTTATGTCTTTTCCTTCACAGCAACTCGCCTTTTTCCAACAGCGTGGAGCCTGTCGGGGTCAGTCATGTGGTGAAAGATGATTCTGTGTTCTTTATAGGAATTTAGAAAAAGAAAGTGGGAGGATCCATCTATTGGCCCCACCATATATATTGAGAGAGCTACAAGAGTGATCCCTGCACACGATACGGTGATAGATGCCTTGAGAAAGGTGGGTTGTCCCCCGAAACATTGGACACTTAGTAAATGGGAGACCCAAAACGAAGACAATTCCCAAGAAAACACCTAAAAAAAACCCCACCTGATTGAAGATGGAGAAGGAGCGCGGTCACATGACTGAGAGGATACTGAACCTCACCCTGGAGATCGTCTACCTGCTGACCGGAGAGGTGAGGAGGATTCTGGGAGGTCACATGACATCACTCTTATCTCTAGTAATAAAACACAGACCTGACCGGAGAGGTTAAGCTTATTGTAATGACAATAATTTTATTAAATTGGGGAAGTTTTTATTCTATTTTGGATGGTGACATAAGTTGTGTTTTGGCTTTTAATATAGAATTATATCGCTTTCAAGTTGTCTGATGGCTTGGTGTCTTCCAACATGATGAAGATCCAAAACCCCGTTATAGATCCTCCATCTCACTCCCTGAGAAAGACCAAGAAGGTTGAAGAAGTCACCAGCGAGATGATTGAGCTGCTGACAGGAGAGGTGAGCTGTGCCGGGAATTCTGGGACATGATCCAGGAACAGACAAGGGATGTGTCTGGGTGGTGACTGTATCATTGTGTGTGTCAGGTTCCTATAAGGTGTCAGGATGTCTCTTTCGATGCAGAAGAAGATAAATATTTAGGACACCGGGAGCTCTTCAAGGACGTCATGACGGAGAACCGGCCGCCCCTCACATCACCGGGTAAGAGGAGACTTTCATTTCCTGAGTATTGAGGATCCCCCTAGATACACACATCCTCTGATATAAAGACATAGAAACATTGTATTCAGTCAGTGTGTGTGTTTCCTACAGATGGATCCAGGAACAGAAATACCCCAGAGAGATGTCCCCGTCCTCTGTATTCCCGGGATTCCACACAGGAACATCAGGAGATCCCTCAGGCCCGTCCTCTGAATTCCCTGGACTCCACACAGGAACATCAGGAGATCCCTCAGGCCCGTCCTCTGTATTCCCGGGACTCCACACAGGAACATCAGGAGATCCCTCAGGAACATCAGGATGATCAGGTAGATGGAACTTAGCATCCTAATGATAACTAATACTATGTTTCATTCTGAATCATAATGTAGATAATGTCCTATGTCTTCTCATACTTATTGTTCCGGTAAGATGACAGGAGTTCCTCAGCAGATCTGGTGGAGACTTTTCTATATTTGAACTATCATACTTTGTGATCGTTATTGAGGCAATACTGCTTTTATGTTCAAGGACCATTTTATCCCCGTGTAGGGTACACTGGACGTACACTGGATTGACTGTAAAACAGAAGTTGAAGAGGAGCCAGAAGAGCTGTATGTGACATTTGATGAGCCGTGTAAGGAGGAGGAACGTTCTCCAGAGATCAGCACAGGTGAGGAATAAACACTAAATCCAGAAATGAGACCAGTCTCCCCCCACACACACTCTCTGGGGTCTCTCATACATCTCAGTACAGGGGGCTTCACTCTCATCTTTATTTCCAGATCCCGGAGACACTCAGAGGGACGTCAAAGTTGAGAAGATGGCAGAAGAAATACACCAACAGACTCACACAGGCTTTCCGCCGACGGATCCGCACAAGCCGTACTCCTGTTCCGAATGCGGGAGATGTTTTAAGAAAAAGGCTGGCCTTCTCCGACATCAGAGAGCTCACACAGGGGAGAAGCCGTGTTCATGCTCCGAATGCGAGAAATGTTTTGCTATGAACGTAGATCTTGTACAACACCAGAGAACTCACACGGGGGAGAAGCCGTATTCCTGTTCTGAATGTGGAAAATGCTTTAGTCAGAGGACCGGTCTTGTTTTACACAAGAGGGCTCACACAGGAGAGAAACCATATTCATGTACGGAATGCGGCAAACATTTCAGGCAGAAGTCAAATCTCACTATCCACCGACGGACTCACACAGGTTTTGCGCCGACGGACGGACACAAGGCATACTCCTGTTCCGAGTGCGGGAAAAGTTTTAAGAAAAATGATAGCCTTCTCCGACATCTGAGAACTCACACAGGGGAGAAGCCGTATTCATGCTCGGAATGCGGGAAGTGTTTTGCTATGAACACAAATCTTGTACAACACCAGAGAACTCACACGGGGGAGAAGAGGTATTCCTGTTCCGAGTGTGGGAAACGCTTTAGTCAGAGTACCAGTCTTGTTTTGCATAGGAGAACTCACACTGGGGAGAAGCCGTATTCATGTTCCGAGTGTGGGAAATGCTTTAGTCAGAGGACCAGTCTTGTTTCGCATGGGAGAACTCACACCGGGGAGAAGCCGTATTCATGCTCGGAATGTGGAAAGTGTTTCAGTCAGCACAGCAATCTTACATTGCATAAGAAAATTCACACCAAATTCACATAACGCAGTTTCCATTCAAGCTTGAGGATACCATGCCGTGGTATTGATGTGGCGCACCAGCCAGTTTCTGTTACTGGTCCGAGATCCCTGAAAGGCCGCAAGACTGTCACAACGTTTCTGGGTCACTCCCTACTTGCTTTGAACGGTGACTGATGAACAATTCACTCTTCCCACACGCCTAATAGACCAATACCAATAGACCAATATCCCGGCCTAATACAACACCGAACCCACTGAGCATGCACCAGTGTTGAAGGATCCCATATACAAACGCTTTCCAGATCATTGTCTCTGCTCACAGGTCCTTGCTATGTCCCCGCCATACCTGGAATGTGTTCAACCTTCGGGGAATGGGCCAACCTGATGTAGAAGAATCTGGCTACTACCCTTCCTGATCCCGTCTTTGTAGAAGGTTTAGAGCTTATGACTTCGGCCCGATACTATGACGTAGATGGATTATTTGGCATTGTCCCAAAGGAGTCCCTATCAGTGAATATGCAGAGAACTCTTTGGCTTCTCCAGATGTACAAAACGCACGCTATGCATGTCTATTGAAAGTCTACATCTTTCTGGTCCCTCATAGGATGCCCTCATAGGATGCCATGGGGGGGGGGGGGGGTGTTTTGATATTTGTGTATCTGGTTCTTGTAGTAAAACCAAGGAAACTGACCCAATAGTATTTGTTTGCTTTTACTATACAACAAAAGTACTACCTCAACCTGGTCACCAGGATTTTGGTCAAGACCTTCAGGTCATAGTCTAATAATGAGATAGGAAGAGCAAGAGGTCATCTCAGAGAAGAGATCACCTTACTCAAGCTAGTTTTTTTTTACTGAACACAAGAAAAGTTAGACATACAGTGTGATCAAACATTTCACAGCTTCCTGGCGAGATGCCGCATAACAGTCAAACAGCTAAGATGCCATACTGTACAGTACAATACAGGGCAGACCGTGTTGGTGGTAAGTCCCACTCAATCCCTCAGTAGATCCATACATAGAGAGTAGCCTGTCCATTAAACATGTCAACGGAGTGGGTATGTAGCTCGAATGGCCCTTCAGGTCGATGACCTCAGCCATACATGCTGTACATTTGGGCTGTAACAGTGATATTATCATCAAATAGACGACAACAAGTAACGAGACAACACAGACAATGAGGGGTGGGAGTCACAGGGAAGAATAGATGTGGTAGAGACGGATGGTAGAAGTTCCAGAGTCTTCCATGGTAAAACCACCGAGAACTCTAGGGTAGGTTAGAGAATGGAGTGCGGTGGTGGGGGGAGACATAAAGCGCGTTGTTTGGAGTACAATCCCGCTTGGTGCGCTATCCCCTACACCAGAAATGTGCTCCCTGAGGGCCGGTCAGCTATCTGCGCGTGCATTAGTCTTCTAAGCGGTGGTACGTGTGAGTTCTTTGTATACCTTTCCTAGGCAGAAATGGGTCCAAGGTGCCCACAGTCTGGAGAATTTGGTCAATGTGTCTTGTTTGATAAAAAGGAGTTCTTCCATTTCAGAAATGTATTTTACCTGAGCGATCCATTCGGTGATAGTCGGGGGCAGTGGCGTAACAACCGGGGGGGCAGCAGGGGCGCGGGCCCCGGGCGAAAAGTGAAGGGGGGGCCCCGGCCGAAAATGGCACTTTCGGCTAAATGCCAAAAGTGACATTTTCCATCAGCAAGCGTTAATCAAATGCTTGCTGAGAGATTTGTCGGGTCCCTCGTTCTCTACCTCTCGGATATGGAGTAGGTAGACACTCGGGCTAAAAGCAAGCTGTTCCCCCGTGATCTAAACGATAATGTCGTGGGCCCGTCTCCAATAAGGTTGGAGAAGGGCACACTCCTAGAAGATGTGATGAGTGTACCTCGTGCCGAGGTGCATCTATGACAGGTCTCAGGTATTGCAGGGTCAAATTTCTGGAGGAGTGCTGGGGTTCTATATCATCGTGAGAGGAGTTTGAAATTGGTTTCCTGAGTCCTACAACTCACTGAGCTTTTGTGGGCCCCCAAGCACTCTGTTTCCCATGTATCTACTGGGATGTCTTGGTCTAACTCCCTCTACCAGGCTATGCGTAAGGTGTCGGTGCGAGCAGGCCTAGATGGACGAACGAGGCCGTAAATCCAGGATATGAGGTGTCGAGAAGGACCCTTGCCAGAGCACGCTCTTTCAAAGCTGGTCATGTCTCTGGCAAAGCCCTCCCGTCTTGCTGGGGCAGTGAGGTAGTGCCTAACTTGCAAATAAATCCACCAAGGTGTCAGGGTATTTCTATATAAAATTACAAAAAACTGATGAACTATGACTTGTACAGAAACTAAATCAAACTTTTCTGTGCACTGTAATGCAAGGGGCCAGGAGTCTGTGCTGGACAGATAAATTAATCAACCAAAATAGCCTATTGTGTGCAAATTAAGCAATACACAAACAATACAGGAAAAACACTTCAGGAACCAGCCTTTGTACAGCCAAACTGATTCAAAGAGGTAAAACATTGCAAATGAAGTCTAAGGATTAGATAATCATAAAACCACAATTGACAATACTGAGAGAAACTTAACTTCAAGGTCAATAATTACCAGTGTTTAATCAAGAAACACAAAGGCGAAGGATATCACAACTACAAATGAAAAATTTACAAAAAACCCTTACAAACTCCAAGACAGCTAATTCGCCCGATTGTTCCAAGAATGAGATTACCTGTGATTATTGTCTGAGGTTGAGTAAGTTATCAAACACATCCAAGGCTTACTCAACTGAATGCAAACGATATGAGTGAATCATACCAATCAACTACCATTTCTGAACCGATCAATTGGAAGAAAGTAAATAGTGGCTGGGGAGTCGCCAATACGAACAATGCTCTCAAACCATATAAAACACCATGACAGGAACGGAGAGAGGAGGAAGAGTCTGGAGAAAACTTCCTGGATATAACAAAATGACTGTCACTCATTGACCATCGCTAAAGACTTAACCCTTGACGCCTAAAACGAGCCATCATCTCATCCAATAAGACTCTGAACATTTTCTTTTGAAGGATTGGTGAGATATTGATCATATATGAAGAATTAACTTTCTTTACTCCGAAATCATAGCGATTACATTTTATTATTAGTTTTTTTTTTACAATTCTAATTAACAGTGTGCAGGGTGAATTCTTGTGATAATTTTTCATACCTTTCCCCATTTTATTCCTGAGATTGTATTGTGTATGGTTAAATTGGGTACAGATTTGTATGTAACTCGTTGCCATTGTAGGTATACTGGCCTGTTTGCTTGCTGTCCCTATTATACTAGTAAACCTACTATCTTCAGAAATCGTTAGGATCAGAAGGGAATATTTACTTTTGAGATACGTTTCTTTATTTCCTATGGCCACGGAGAATAAGAAACAATCGTAAAGGTGTCCAGGTATTTTTATTTTTCTGATAATTTATTTCCATTTAGTTCTTTGATTGGGTATTTGAATTGTAATCACCAGTAATGTATGTTTTGTACAGAAATATATGATTATACTCGTATATTAATAAATTATTTTGATTTATTAGTGTAATTGGGAGATATTTATATATTGTGGTAAGAAATCACCATAAGCTCAAAGAACTCAGGGAAGTGGTTCGGGGTGTATTATCAAGTGTCTGAACTGAATTCATACTGTTTGTTAAGTTATTTATTATTTGCCGTCATCGGCTGGAGGCACTGTCTATTAAATCTAGATATAATTCAGACACCACCCTATTATTAATATTTCACCAAGATTTGATACCACTCAATCACAACAAAGGAAGCTGTCCTTTCTTGTATAGCGGAGCTAGATCCTCTTTTTGGAGGAAGTTGTTATGTTTGTAGAACGAGTGTGCCACCAGCTCAGCTGAGGGTGTCCAGTGAGTAAGAAAGTCCGTTGCGGAGCTTGGGGCAAAATCCGGGTTATGAGTCAGGGGGGTCATGGGACTGTCTGGAGTCGTGAGAGTGCCACGTCTCCGCTGACTGGCGAATTCCTGCAGGGATGCTCCTATTAAAGGGAGAGTGGTGATGTGCCTGGGGCTGTGTCGTTGATGAAGCCATGTTAGAGGAGTCAAGGGAGGTGCATTGTCCCACTGTGATTCCATGGAGACCCACAGTTTAGAGGGGGCGTTGACATGCCAGTCGACAATCCGGCAGAGGTGGGAAGCTAAGTAGTATCACGGTATGTCTGGCACGTCAAGGCCGCCATGTTGTTTGGAGGTCTTTAGTAATGCCCACGCAATTCTCGGATGTTTGTCTAGCCAGATGAAGCATTTAAATGCTGTCTCTACTTTGGTAAGGTAAGGTCTGGGTAGTTTGATGGGGAGCGCTTGAAACAGGTACAGAAGTCTCGGGAGGACGTTCATTTTGATTATGGCCGCTCTGACAAACCAGGAGCAGGTCAAAGCCCTCCATCGGTGTAAATCCTGGGAGATGGTCTGTAGCATGGGTGCGTAGTTCAGGCGGAATAACTCCGATGGTGAGGCTGGTAGGTGGATGCCCAGGTATTTAACCGATGAGGAGGCCCAACTATAGGAGAAGGCATTCCTCAGTCCGAGCACCACCTCCGGAGGTAGGCCAATGTTAAGTGCTTCCGATTTAGTGTAATTAATGGATAGATTTGACAGTGTACCATATTCCAAGAAAAGGGACTGTAGTTTCTGTAAAGATTGCATGGAGTCAGTCAAACAAAACAGCATATCGTTGGCATATGCTGCCACTTTGTGTTCACAGTCGCCTATTTGGACACCACGTACCTGGGGGTCAGCCTGTATTAGTCTGAGGAAGGGTTCTAATGGCAGTATAAAAATGGTGGGCGACAAGGGGCACCCCTGTCGCGTCCCGTTTGTGGTTTTGAAAGGGGGAGACAGGCAACCCATCGTGCGGACTCTAGCCCAAGGACGGGAATAGACCGCACGGATCCATCCCAGCATGCCATGTCCCAGGCCGCTGTGAGTAAGAACTGCCAGCATAAAGTCCCAGGCGACCCTGTC